AAATAGCAAATTGAGAATTTGAGAATGTAACTAACTCTGTGTAATGCAAAAAAAAATACCAATCATTTGTGATGACACAAATCGAATCACTACTTTCACTTCGCTGATATGGTACATAGACATGTCATTTGAATTATAGCTCTGTATTATCACAGCAAGTCAGTGGATTCATTGTCGTGCAAGTGAAAAGCGACAAGTTCGCAGTAGAAGCATCAAAGGTAGGCCTTCAGATGAACAGTAGAAAAAACGGAGGTGATAAAGATTCCTGGCTGACAACATCAGTAGCAACTACAACAGACAACGATCAGCCAGCATAAATGGGAGGAATCTGAAAGGAACAACCTCCTTTACCTATCCATATGGAAAGCATCGTTTCAACTACAGGCGAACGGAACTGACGAGGATATCAAAGCGAGGATCAACGGGAAAGCAAGACAAGCTTTCATTACTCTCAAGTCTGTGTGGAGGTCAACAGCACTGCTCAGCATGAAAAATAAGATCCAGGTTTTCAACTCCAATTTGAAGTCAGTGTTACTCACTATACGGATCAGAGACTTGGTGTCGCGTCATGTAGAGCATCTCGAACAAAATACAGAACTCCATCAATAGCTGTCTTAGCTCAGTACTTCGCTGAAGATCTGATGGCCAGAAAAGATCAACAACAGGGATCTCCGGGAGCGAACGAACCCATCAGGAACAACCGATTTTGCAACAAATAAGCAGGAAGAAATCGAGGTGAATTGACCATACTCTGAGGAAACAAATCATCAAGTGACATGACACTCCAAGTCATCACTTGAGTGGAACCCGAACAAGAAGCGGCGAGTTGGTCGTCAGTGCAAGGGTGACTTGGAGGAGGTTGTGTGAAGAGGAGACAATGTCTAGGCATTTAATTAGAGGTTAATTGGTGGGTGTTGACTATCAGTGGAATCTAGGACAACGTGAATTTCTTCCTATTTTGGACCCGTCAGCTGGATGTACCTGCATTCCACAGTGAGTGATATTGAGACCGACCACTTCGCTCCAATCAACCTATGGGAAAATCTAAAATTCAATTAAATAATTAATATGACCCATTGCATAAGAGGTGGCCAGCTCCCGTGGCCTAAGTGGTTTAGTGGATAACGCTTTGCCGTTTGAAACTATGGGCCTCTGTGGGAACATCATCACTCACTGGGGAATGCAGGCACGTCCAGTCGCAAATAGGACGAAACGTGTGTTGTCCTGGATTCCACTGATAGTCATTCTTCACCAATTAAAAAGGTATATTCAAATCTCAAATGTTATTTATATTTTTTATATTGTTAAGGAGGTGGATTGACCATAATTGGAGCCAGGGGATAATGTTAGCGGAGAACCGAATGCAATGGAAACGGGCTCCTGAAACCCTATATTCCTCTAGAAACTAAAGGAGACAGAAATAATAGTAATAAGGTTGTAGTTATTTGAGAAGTCATAAAGGATGAACTCATATTATCCTTGTACATTTGTCATTTTTATTTTATTAAGGTTTAATAATGGGGAGAATTGTATTAAGTTTTTAAAGAATCTGCTTACTGGCTAAGTTAAATTAATCCCCTTACTAAATCGGAAATCTTCTTTTTGTGACGTTAACAAATATTTGTAACAGCTGGATGTATTGTGACTTCATAAGAGATGAAAATTCCCACGAAAATTGATGCTCACCAGCATGCATTCTATTAGTAGCTAACCGAATCTGTAAGCGGTGACAGAAAACGCAAAGTCATCGAAAGACTAGAATATTCAGGAGTGTACTACCAGACAGTAATTTGTTACAAGATTTCATCATGAGCTGACATTGGTTACAGAACCATTGGAAAACCTGGGAGTACTAGACAGCCAGCTGTTTCGTGCTAGTTTGAGACTCTTCAGCAGTACGCACCCGCCACATGGGTTCGAACCCAGGACCTTCTGGTTACAAGGCTAGCGAGCTTGTAGACCATTCAGCAGCCATTCAGACGCGATCCAATAGCCAACCAGCCCATGAATTCTAACTTCTGCCAATTCACGATATATCGCAACCGCTGGTCAATACCTTCGGCGAGTGATTTGTTCTCACACCCGACCTGCTGTACCCTACTGGTCACGACTTCCCATTGTAAACAGTAATTTTTTTCTCAGAGGTTGGATAGTTTACCCACAAAGTTTTCATCATTCATCGAAATAGCATCTTCAGTTTTAATTTCAAAATAAAATCATTTAGACATGTAACTTCATCTTGAAGTTAACGCTGAAAATGTTGCCTAGAGGGACAATGAAATCTCTGAAATTAAATCATGCCGCTTATAAAATGGGACAATATATTTTTAAAAAATTCACCTGAGCTACAAGCCTTCGCCAAATTATTGAAAACAAAACAGGTAGTTCAAAGAAGAGTCTCTTTTCGGTGAATTCATTCCCCCCCTTTTTAACTGGACAGTTGTATTTATTAATAGTTTTTCTCATCAAAGAGGAGTGTAGCAAACGGGATGAGTTGTTAATGCATTTTTTATTCCTTTACGTTCCCAGTGGAACATAGGGGGCTTCAAGTTTCTGTAGCAGTGGGGTTGCTAACCTCACCTGGCCTAATCTTTCCTCTTCACTAGGCTTTCATTTCTGGATTAGCGAGGTAAAGGAGTGCTTCGGTGGCGGAGGATTGGAACCCGGACCATGTGCATGGTTGGCGAGCGTCCTAACCACTGTGACACCGACGCACTGCTAATGCATAAAAGACGTAATAAGATACACAGTTTAATGCGTGAGTTGTGATCACCATGCACATGGAAACAGAGGAAAATATGGAATTACCTTAAAGTTCTAAAGAAATACAACAGTAATAAGGAGGTGGAAAATTAAGAACACAAAGTCAAGTCGGTAGAAGTAGTTGTTAGACTTCGAATCAATAATTCTAGTTTTTCTAACTAAATGGCTAAGGTTTCTCCTTTGCCTCAGAATTGATTAATACTAAGGTCTCTTTAATTTCATTAGTGGGTAGTTTAAATTTCAATTTAACACGGAAGGATATGAATATCTTCAAAATACTGTTGATACACCTTGTGGACTCGAATAATGGGGCACAAGATTTGACCGTTTCAAATTTTTCCTTTTATAAAAACAATTTCAGTGAAGAACCTGATTTTTTTTCAAATCCCAATGTGGTTTATTTTATTCCTTTAAGTTCCAAGTGGAACATAAGGGGTCTTCAGGTTAGAGCCGGAGTGAAATTTCGGTAGCAGCATCGCTGTTTATTTTTACGGAATGGGACTGCTAGTCTCATGCCTGACCTCCCCTATTTACCAGTCTTATTACTGGTATAGCAAGGTGAAGAAGTACTTCTGTGGCCGGGGATCGAACCCTGGACCACATGAGGCGTAGTTGGCGAGCATCCTATCGTTGTACCACCGACGCACTCTCAATGTGGTTAGTACACTGTTATTACTTAAGAAATTGAGAAGAAAAACTACTCTGTAGGATACTGAGTACATATTTATAGGAATGGTATCACATAAAATAAATAATTATTGAAGATATACTAATTTAGACGAGGGAAGTTGTCAATTAGATGGCGCTATCGCCTACAGAACCAAGTTCGTCATTTTAAAATTGATCATCTTAGAAGTGAAAATTCAATATGATCATCCGAATATTTATTTTGCGGTATGGGGATTGGAATTGGTGGTGAATTCGTCACCTCGAACTGAGTAACTATGAGAATTCGGACGTCTGGTTATTTTATTGGATTTTAGATTTTCCTGTCGATTGACTGGACTGAAGTGCTTGGTCTCAGGTTGACATGTTGGCTTCTTGCGTAGATGCTTCGACAGTGTCTCAGCTTGTAATTAGAATTCAGTTTGTGGATGGTGACTAGCAGTGGAATCCATCAAGAAGCGCACTTCATCCTATTTGGGACTCGTCAGCTGGATGTACCTGCACTTCCCAGTGAGTGATAATGTTCCCACTGGTGACCATAGTTTCAAACGCCAGCTGAAGCGTTATTCACCTGGTGTTTAGGTAGATTGAATAGGAGGCCAGGGGCTTTCACATCATTTAGTACCACCCGCACACACACTTACACACATTCAGTGTTTACAACTGTACATAACATGGACATGTGTAGAATCATCAGGACTTCATAATGATCATTATAATTTATCTAGTCTCTAATGTACGCAAAAATTAGTCTTTGTTACACGTGACCTGAATGAATTTAGTTACATACCATGAATCACATAATGAACCACTTTAATTCTCTGAACTCTTCGTCGTCGTCTTCTCATACACACACACACACATATGGTGCGTTAAAATTATTCTAATCAACCAATCATATTCAATAATAATAATTATTATTATTTAATCATATAATGATATACTCTCTCTCCCTTCCTTCCAATATTTCTTCTTCTACTCCCCCTGTCTCTCTATTTTGTAAAATAAACATCACGAAGGTTTCTAGAGTTCTTTCTTTCTATCTATCTATCTACCTATCCACCCTAGAATCTTTTCAATATGTCTATCTAATTCATTCATTCATGAAACCATAATTCACCAAAGTTTTATTTGTCATCATAGTGCACAAAAGTTCAACTGACGATTGAATAGGGTTAACAAAATCAGAAGGAGAGAGACAGAGAGAGCTGGCGATAGGTAGGGAGGGACAAGTAGACGCAGAGGAGAGGACATGGAAGAATAACTTATCAGCATATGTCATGCATGCATCATAATTATATACACACATACATACATACAGAATGCACATATATATATGTGCTGTTTCACCAGTATACAAAAAATTCTATGAGTCATAACAGTTACCATAATGTTCAGTTAACAGATTGAAGGATTCAGTGTTCAAACAATACAATAAGCCTATCCTACTGAATATAAATATAAACTATTGAACCTATTGAATAACGCTACACAGAATACATTGGAATAAAAATACATTTTAGTTTTTATCTACTCAGCATTTAAATAAAACACAGTTAAACAGTAGAGCAATGAAATCTTCGCGATCAGAGTCTAATAATAATAATAATAACAATCCACAGTGTAATAACAGTAGTTCTCCACGTGAATTGTGTTCAACTGAATATCAAGTAAGTTCAATATGTATTAATATTTATAATATATATATTTTATATTTTATAATATTTACTTATGGTTAATTAGTGAAGGGTGAATAACAGCGGAATCCATCAGAATGCGCATTTCGTCCTATTTGGGACTCATCAGTCAGCTGGACGTGCTTGCATTCCATACTGAGTGATGATGTTCACCACAGAGGTTCGAACCCAATACGCATAGTTTCATACCATTCACCAATTAACTTCTGATTCCATGTTCAGACATCGTCGAAGCCGACGTGTTAATGTGAGATTGAACACGGGAAAATCTAAAATTCAATTAAATAGAAATATTTATCATTATTATTATTATGTATAGGGTCAATGTGAAGACATTTTCTTCTCTCGAAGTATCATTTCTGTGATTCAGTCTAAGGATGTCTAGCTGGTCTTCATTAAGATTTAACTGTAAGGATGATCCTATCGTCTTTTCTTTTTCACAAAGAAATTCAGATTCAGATTTCTTGATTGAGGATAGATGGCTTAGAGTTTGTGTTAATTATTTCCTAGTGAATTTCTGTGCTTTTCCAAACTCTCCTTGAATTATTAAATTGAGGTTGAAAACACCACCTCTTCTGGGAGTCGGTTCCAAGAGTTTATGACTCTCACTGTGTGAACCAGTAATCAACAGGAATATGATTTCTTCTTGGCTTTTGAACTCTCCTGCTATGTCCCCTAAGGTGTTCCGACCATCTAGTGGGAAGGGAAAGAGAGAATAGATCAGGCTCATAGTTATTATTTAAAATTTTAAACATTAATTAAACTTCTCTCTGCCTACAGTATGATTTGGAGAAGAGATCTAAACTGTCTAGTCTTTCCGCGTATGATAAATAACTTACTCATGACTAGAATCATACATGTTGCCTTCCTTTGGATCCTTTCTAGAATATGTGAATTCCGTTTAAGACAAGGACTGGTTGCCTATGTATAAGGAGTTAAACGTATCTCTGGTGATTCTAGTAAAGACTGAGAATTCCCCATAAGGATGTGTAAGTACTTGCACCCACCACACGCGACAGTTCTGTAGTTTTTAAATTGTGACTTACTATGACACCTAAATCCAAATGAGCCTGAAGTGATGTGAGTTTTACTCCCCCTAGTTCTTAGGAGCTGATGGTTGCTTGTCCGATGTGCATGGTTGCACATTTCGTCACACTGATCAGGAGCATCCGTTCTCTAGACCAGTCTAACAATTTGTTCACGTCTTCTTGTAACGCGAGCGTATCACTGTTGCCCTTCAGCTCTTTCCGTATTTTTACGTCATCTGCGTATAGGACCATTGGGGAATCTGTGAGCACAGATAACTCGATGATATACAAAAAATAAATAAATAGAAGAGGCTCGAATACCGTGCCACAGAGGTTTATATTGTAGTATACGGCAGGAGTGTTCGAATCGTAAGCCTGAACACTGAACGTTCCACTTTTTGTTACCGCTTTGTACAGAGGAATTTTTACAAAACGTTGTATTATCGAACCAGTCATTAAGAAATAGATGTTACGAATCCGTCTGTATTGGTGGGTAGTGTGCAAGGTACCGATAGTGGTGTTGATAAGCTATACTTAACCAGCCCCGTACTTAACATAATTTATCTATGTACCCAATAATTCAGCAATCTACCTAATGCGCAAATACTGACGACAAAGCGCAAGTTAAGTGACAAAGACAGTGTTAAGCGCGAAACCTATAACTTGCTTTGTTGTTAATAACATAATTTTAGGCTCTTTTATTTCTCTCTTATCTGTATTCTATAGTGAACACCTTAAATATACTTAGCTACCTAAAATTATCATCATTGGCTTACTTTTTTGTACTTTACTCTATTCCCTCTTTTGTCTATCTACTGGTTCCGACTATATTATCACCACGAGTATTACAAAGTTGTCCTGTCATTAACCATCACGTAATATTAGGTTTGTGGTTTTTTTTGTACGGCAATATTAACTGACAATCTTGGTTGTGAACGTCATTATCACCATCTTAAAATGTTTGTACTATGTAGGATTACTCACACTACCACTACAAACACCGCATTAGAGATGACAATAAAATAACCCTGAAATGTTTTATTTTACGATTATATAATGTTGTTCAATCAAATTAACCGATCACCTTGGCGATAAACATTCTTAATTGCATCATTTCATAACTTCTTGTATGATTATAGCTGTTACTGTTCACCATGCATAAACATAGCTTCATAGCTTCCACTACCCAATACTAAGATATTATTTTATCATGTTTATTTTCCATTCTACTTCTTGGTATTTTTTTCGAATTTTTTCGTTGCTATTTTGTGTTTTTTTGTTCTTTTTTATATTTATTTTTTGACTGGACGTCGCATATATACAACATTCATAGTGTGGCCTTAGATGGATAAACTATACTGTCCTAAATATCTCCTTGTGATGGTGTTCAGAAAGCTTTGACTCTAGCCCCCTCCCCCCCACACACACAAAATGTATCATTGATTTTTGGCTAATAGTAAATTTTAGGTGCTTTTGTTCCTCGATTTAAGGGAATTTTGACCAGCAGTATTGCTGACGAATAAATATTATATTCAAGTATAGATTTGTAGGGATTTAATTGATTGGTTACAGGATTTCATCGTGAGCTGACATTGGTTACAGAACCATTGGAAAACCTAGGAGTACTGGACAGTCAGTTGTTTCGTCCTAGCTTGGGACTCTTCATCGGTACGCATGGGTTTGAACCCACGACCTTCTGGTTACAAGGTGAGCTCGTATACCATTCAGCAGCCACTGGGACCAGATCTAATGACCAGCCAGTCCATGAATTCTAGCCATATAGCGCAACCGCTAGCCAATGTCATCTGTGACGAGTATTTGTACTCAAACCCAACCTAGTGCACCCTGCTGGGCAAAGTTCAACAGGAATGTGTTCCTAGGAATGCGAACGCACGAGTGACCTTCAACTAACCAATCATAAAAATGAAGAATGTTTGCTCCAAAAATGATGTATATTGGCAAAAAATGCTTGGAAACCCATTAAACAGGTTATCTTTCTCTGACGTGGCTTAAAAATCCGCCCTAGTTTTAACGAGGAGTATCAGTTGCGAAGTTAGACTAGTTTCTGTACATGTATTCATCGAGATGACTACAGATAAACTGTTTTTGTCAATCGTTTATTTCTGTCATCCTGCTTGCAGTCTTCCAAAAACAGCCTTCGGTTGAATTATTATGGTTTCCAGCAAGAGGATAGACGACTACTTACCGGGAAAAGTGGATAACAAAGAAATTAAGATCAATGACATCAACTATAAATCTATCCCTTATCGTAACCATAAGCTTAATCCTGACCCTAACACTAAACCTAACTTTAATCATAACCCTTATTGAAATCGTAATTCTAACCCCAATACATATCTAAACCCTAATCCTAACCCTAACGAGTTATAAATGCATTGTCCAAACAGTACTTAAAAACGTGATCTGGGTGAAATTTACTCCTAAATTGGTGAATAGCATTGATATTTTAGCTGTGATAGTGACAGATGCAGTTGGCCAACGACTAGCATGCGTTCAAGGTCATTGGGGCGTTCACACTCCTGGGACGCTATTGTTGAACTTCGCCCCCTACTCATCATGACTTCCTACTAGAATAGGGCCAGTCACCAGTGAGCATAAATAAATATTACTCCACTATTGTTGGAAGTGATTTCCATTTGGCCTGTATCATCCAGATTGTAACAACAGAAGACAAGGGCCAGTAAACAGATTCTTTATTTACGAAATCAACACATATTTATACATTTTCATGTGCATTATTATAGATTATTATTGTTAGCAGGAAAATATGGTCTTCTGATTGGTTGTTTCTCACTGAAACTTAATCTTTCATCTCTTTGTGGTTGTTTCTTGAATGTCAAATCATCTATATGTTAACTGAATCCGCCTACGCAAATGCTATGTTCTCAGTCTTTCTCACGACCAATAAATATTTGGGACATAAACATTGACGTAAATTACTGCCTACCAACTTTGGCCAGCAGCCAGCTCTCACCACAAAATGAGTATCTGTTTTGATGATGATGAGTAAACCTTAGCGTTATTCATAAAAGCCAGGATCAATGAGGTTGAACCTTTTAACAGTGGTTCATCATCAATGTAGAGTGTAAACAAAATCAATCCTAGTGTATTACCCAGTTTCCATTTAAATGGTGCATCATTCAATTAAACACTTTGCATCATATAATAAAGGCATTCTATAGACCATTGTTCCACTTTGGTATTTATGTAAAACTTTGAAACGTCTTCCAGAAAGCTAAATTTGTATACACTTAAGTCTTTTTGTATGCACAGATTCTTTTGTTCATCATTTTGGGACACTTGGACACTTAGGCCATTTTGCCCTGTCACCAATAAACTATGAGCTTCCTTCCTTGTATAATTCGTAAATTCCGCCTTTATTATTTTCCCCTAGAAATTTGAATAAAGCAAGAACAACAGTGTGGTTTGTGCAGAATAATATGGTACCACCATCTGTTTCGTTGGCTTCTCATCAGCTGCTCACAGTCTAAATAAGTTATGAGGTTTACGTAGGGAGAAGTTTTAACATACTTGCAAATTTTACATGTTGTCAGTTGAAAAAACTTGAACTGCCTGCATACAAAACTAAATATATATGCGTAAACCTCATAATTTGTTTAGGCTGTAAGCGGCTGATGATGATGGTACCATATTATTCTGCACAAACCACACTGTTGTTCTTGCTTTATTCAAATTCATCAAAGAGAATAAATCCATGAAGTTCCAGAAAGTTGACTGTACAGACTGTACAGATCAAACTGATAGGGCTGTAGTGATAAGTCACTTAACTACTGAAAATAAGGCTAAGTGTATCATATAGTTTAGAATTTAATTGGTAGATGGTGACTAGCAGTAGAATCCAGGATAAGGCGCATTTCGTCCCATTGGGGACCCGTCATCTAGATGTACCTGCATTTCTGTCCA